AGAAGGAGCACCTGTGGACCTAAAAATGGAGCTGGTCGACCTCCAGTATAATGGTACACTCAAGGCAAAGTACGACTCTGTGGGTGCTGCACAGTTCCCAGACTTCATCCCTGCACGATGCCTAAACTCCGTCTGCATGCTGCTCAAATGCTCTGCATGTTTGGAAGCACATACCTGTGTGAGCAGCTCTTCTCTGTTTTGAAGATGAACAAAAACCCACAAAGGAGTCGTCTCACTGATGCACACCTCCACACTATCTTGAGAGTTTCCACAGCACAGAACCTAACTCCAAAAATTGATCAACTGGCAGCCAAGTAAAGGTGCCAAACATCTGGCCCTAGCACACATTCATAAAGGAAGAATGTAACATACCAAAATATTTTTTCCTTGTGCACTTAAGCATGCCAGTATGTGTGTGGATTGCCTCAAATTAATTTTGTCTTATCCTGTTTGGACTTTTTGTTTTGCAACTACAACATATGATGAAAATCACATGGAACGTGAGTTTTTGGGAAACAGTGCAGTGTGGTTATGTTCATAACTGATGGTGTTAGCTGATGTTCTGCACATGTGGCTTCAATATTATTGTGCTGACCGACAGGACAAAGTCCTTGCAATAACTGTTAATGAGGTTTGTGTGTGCTTTGGAGGTTCAAGTTCATTAATCAGTTCAAAAGATGAATGATCAATGATGATTTTTATTCATAGATTTATTCATCAACAAGACAGATAATGTAAACCAAACAGGACAATAATGGGATATTGTTGTGAAAAACATTACCTTATTTATCCTGTTTAATAAATGTTGACCCTATTTGGCCCTTGACATAGTTAGATTTTTAATTTTGGCCCTCTCTGTGATTGAGTTTGACACCTCAGAGGCCTGTACTACAAAGCCAGTTCAACTTACCCAGGATATCTTCTCATTATCTGGTTTGACCAACCCTAACATTGGCCGTCTGGATAACCGGTACTATGACGTTGGTCATCAACTAGTTCAGTCAACTCTGAGTTTTCCTATCCAGCCACAAGTGTGTTCATATGAAAGGGGCAGGGTTGTTAACTATGAGCGTCATCATCAGAACCATGAATGAAGTAGGCTGCTTCATATCATATGAGATGAAATGGTAGCAAAAGTGTTTTGTTGATGAGACAGTAACATGTCAGTGGCGTGGGATGAAAACGACAAACTGTACTTAGAATGGAAGATGTAGAAGCATTGAGAACACCATCCAAAAATTCACCGTCATCCAAGACTTAAATTACATGCAGGCATCACGGAGCTATGGGCCTATGTGACATTAGTATAGAGTGTTTTTTGCTGTTTAGTCAGATCATGATAATACAACAAAAGTAAAGAGTGGAAAAGTAGTTAAGTAGTTAATGACCAATGAGGTCGATCTGACTGAAATGTTACATTTATAACGGGAGCCAACAGTGTGTAGAGGCCAGACAAGCCAGACAAACAACGACACATGCCTAATTAGTACTAACATTTAATAAAATGATAACAGAATGTCACTAATCATCTACACAGCACATATCATTTGTCCGATATTTGTACAAAAAGAAGATCTCCACTCTGGCCAGCCAGGCTCAAACATGGCAAAGAGGTCAAGTTAAGTAGCTTGAGGTGAGGCCTAGCTGACAGCCTGTCAGTCTAAGTGGTTGCACCCTTAATTAATGCAGAAATTTAAGCCTTAAAAACATTTAAAGGAGAAGTCTGATATTTTGCACTTTGAGCCCCATTTCTGGGTTGTTTATGATGAAATAGAGTGGCTAAGACCAAAATTGAAGAATTTGGCTTTTCTCTGCCTGGCTTAACGCTGCTGCCTATGGCCATGTGTGAGTCTGTCCCTAAAACCACCCTAAATGCTCGTTTTCAAAGCCATGAAACTCACCGAGTGCATGGTCAGTGGTGTTCATTGATGTTCTGACATAAAAATCGTAGTCCATGATGATTTATTTGACATTTTGTCTACCCCATTGGTTTTCTAGAAAAGCCTCATTGTCCCTTGGTAGTAATCCAGAAACGGAAAGGGGGTTGTTTTCGACAAGGTTGTAGTCATTGTAGTCTTTTAGCTCAGTGAAAGTGCCGGCTCGACAGTGCTGTGTACACTCCTGGAGGAAGAACGAGAACGAATGAAAAAGTCTTGTAATAAGTTTAAACAACTGCACAATGGATTACTTGCTTGTAAACAACCTTTGCAGTAAGATGCCTTTGAACATGACGGCAACCTTCTTCTTCTGCTTCTTTTCTGTGTCCCATTACATTGCAATGGTTTCCTACCGGTAAGCGACACCCACGTAAAGGAGCATTATTGCCATCAAGTGGGCTGGAGTGTAACGCTTCAGGGTCAAACGAATGATCAAGTGGAAGTTTACACACGGGTGTGAGGCAGCTGAAAAAATAGTTCCACAATCGAGATGAATAGCGAAAACAGGGATGGAAACCACATTTTGCTACTATTTTTATGTCAGAACATCAACGAACACCACTGACCACCTTGTGAGTTTCATGGCTTTGAAAACTAACGTTTCGGGTGGTTTTAGGACAGGTTCACACATGGCCATAGGCAACAGTGTTAAGCCAGGAAGGGGAAAGCCAAATTCTCTGAAAATCAGCAATTGTCACTATTTTGGTCTAGGTTTGGTCTATTTCATCATAAACAGCCCAAAAATGGGGCTCAAAGTGCAAAATACTGGACTTCTCATTTAAGGACCACCATAGGCGTTTCTAGCCCATTTTTGGGGGTGCACCCCTAAACTGAATCCCAGCAATTTGAGAGATTTTTTTTTTTTTTTAAATTTTCACACTGTATGTCCCTTTTTTAACAAGCTAGAAAAGTGTCAAAACCATACAGTACTTAGTTGCAACGTAATATTTTAACAACAAAAATACAGCAGCACCCCCATTGTAACTCCTATTGTGTGTATTTATTATTATTAGTTTGTAGATTTCTAGCACTTTCCTTTTTGAAGTGTATTTTTATTTATGTATTTGTATTATACAGACAAGAAGGAAAAAGGCAGAGATAAACATTGAAAAAGTCACTTTCTGTTCATGTGTTCATGTTACATGTTGTGCACTGCATTTCAAATAAAAGTCCAAAAAATAAGCCTAAGGTCCATTTTTGGTATTTTTGGTACTCACTATAGGGGGCTGGTTTACTCCAGAAACACACATACTGTTTATGTGTATGTTGAGGAGCTGCTGTATCAAAATGAGTTGTCTTCCCCCAGAAATTAGGGTTACGATATGTTTCTTTTATGATTCCAATCCATTCCTCTTTTGCTGTGGCTCAGCATTTAAATAACCTTTATCAGATTTGATGGTTTAGTCACAGACTTTCCCAAAAAGTGTTGTGCTTTTATTTCACAAATGTGGGAATGAAATTGAGTTAAAATGTACAAAACAGTGAAATTTATCTTGCCTGGCCGGGCAGCTCTCTGGGTGCTCAGCACCCCTAAACCTCTGATCCTAGAATCGCCCCTGAGGACCACGTATTCAAATGAGCTCCTGTGATTGGCCAAAATGGTCCCCTGATCTCTGATCAGTGGCCACCCCTGACTCTACAGATACAAATCACTTTTGCTCCATGTCCACTGCGATATTTGGTGCAAAACTGAGAGTGCGCAGAACTTGTCATTTGGGAGCAAAAAAACAGCATTTGAGATTTGTAGTGGCAGATTCAAGCAGTTGTATTTATTGACTTATGTTTGTGCCAGAAATTCATGCAAATTTTGACCAAGACTTCACATTTTTTGATCTGGGTGTGACAATGTGTCTTGCAGCATATTCACTGCAGCAACTGTAGCACAAATGTGAGCGTGTGAGTTTCATAATTTGTGAGTTGTAGAAAAGGATTTCTGTACCTGCAGTGAATAATTAGAAAATGTGTAACTGTTGTGTTTGTGGGAGAGAAAAAGATTCTACAAGTATACAACTCCTTAGTGTTGTCACGATACCAAAATCTTTGTTTCGGTACCCATACCAATATGAATTTCGATACTTTTCGATACTTTTCGGTACTTTTCCTAAGGAAAAGTCCTTTTGGATACAAACCTTTAGAACAATAAATAGTAGGGGTGTAACGGTACCAAAAAAATCATGGTTCGGTAAGTACCTCAGTACGGACGTCACGGTTTGGTAACTCAGATGTTCCACCAAGTTTGTGTTGTCTTGTGTTGTCTCCCTTTGCGATTCAGACTTTCTCTTGTCTTTTTTCACGTGCGCCAGCTGCGAATGTTGATACAGGTGTTGTCATACACACCACTTGCGCAATCTGTGCTCCAATAGGAACAAGAAAGGCGTTTGTGTGCATAAATGAGTAAAATAAATTAACTAAATTAATGAATTGAATCAATTTCAAACTACCAGTATTTTCCAAATGCAGTATAGTACCGTTTGGAATACCCTAGTACCTTCTTTCTTCTTTGTGTCTTCAAATTTTCAGATATACAGGTGTGACTATTTTCTACAGCTACAAATTTCACTGTCACATGTGCTCAGATGTTTTGCTCCAAAAATACCTTCATAACTGATTTATGGTTTTGTATCTGACATATTAGCCCCTGTTCTGTAGGTAGCTGAATAACCACGATAGTGCTATACCTCTAATGCCAATCTTTGTAGAAACTTAATAATTCGTGATCCTACAGCATCAATGCCTTTTTGTTAAGTCCTGAAATATCCCTATTTCCATTTCTCATTGAACTTGATAATATTCAATATTTTTTCATGTATTAATTTGACTGTATTTGTTTTTGTATCTCTGCAAAACTATTTGGTTTAGGCATTGTTTTAAATATATTTTCTCGGCTGACTAGTTCTCTCCTCCATGTTTAAGCAAGAAATGTTTAAGTCTTGGTTTATTTTGAAGGTCACAACAGGAGGTGCTTTTAAACTCAAGCTGTCTTGCTCTTATTTTAGTCAGCTTTGTGAAGGAGACTTGTAGCAGCTCTGTGGAAGTCGAAACGCGGAAACGTGTTTAATACGAACGGTGCATTGTTGAGGGGAAGCGCCAGTGCGCCACGCGTCTCCAGGTCGCTGTCTGTGTCACAAGCCGCGCCAATGTGGAGACATGGACAGAGAAGACAGAGGCAGAAGCGACAGGGTGATCCACAGCAAGATAAAGACAGGAGAAGCTGAGGAGGCTCTGCATCAGTGCCAGCTCATCCAGAACCTGGTGGACATTTCCATCTCCAGTCTGCAGGCTCTCAGGACCAGATGCGCCGCAGCCAACGACCTCACACAGCACGAGATCCGCACTTTAGAGGTAATACGCAGAGGTAATAAGCCTCCAACGTTCTGTAAAGTTGCTGTCTGGAAAGTCTGCCAACCTCATGCTTGTTACAGGGACCCTTTATAAATAATGTGAAACAGGTGCTACGCCATAGGCTCATCACACATCTGACCCAGGGCTGTGCCCATGGAGTCAACATGGGGGGGGGGGGGGGGGGGGGGGGGGGGGGGGGGGGGGGGGGGGGGGGGGGGGGGGGGGTGCATACATGACAATTTAACACTTACATTCCATGTATTGTAGTTTTCCACTTTAGAATAGTAAAATAGAGACAGATTGTGTTTGTGTAACTACAGTCAGACTACAGAGGTACAGTAGCAGCCAAGACCATTGGGTTTTGTACTACCATCTTTTTAAAGCCATCGCCATCGCCAACGCCATCTCGATATTTTTGAACCAGAAGTGAACATATTTGGATAAGAGGCTGGAGCTGTTTTTTCTGTATGTCACGTTTGATGTCATGGACAGGCCAGGCCAGGCCAGTTAAGTAATATAAGGCTAAAAAGAGTGACATTAGCAATGCAATTTGGCTGTACCTTAGGGAGATGGTTGGTTTGGATCAATTATTCTTCCAAGTATTTTGGATAGAGCTTCAAAACTGGAGAACCAGTAACCCCAAGAGCCCTGAGCAAAACCAGAATATACTGGAAAATCACGTTCGGTTAAAAGCAACTCAGATTTTCTGTACGACATCTATTGCACGTCTGTCCGTCCTGGAAGAGGGATCCCTCCTCAGTTGCTCTTCCTGAGGTTTCTACTGGGTTTTTTTCCCCCATTAAAGGTTTTTTTGGGGGGGGGTGTGGGGTGTTTCTTTATCCACTGCGAGGGTCCTAAGGACAGAGGGATGTCGTATGCTGTAAAGCCCTGTGAGGCAAATTGTGATTTGTGATAAAATTGATTGATTGATTGATTGATTGATTGATTTGTTTGCTCAGTTAGTAGTTTGTTTGAGCTTGTGTGAAAGCTGTCAATCGAACCCTGGTGCGGACCAAACAACTGAACCTAGACTGCCCAAAAAGGTGGGTCTCGGTCTGCTTCCAAACGGATTCTGGTGCAATTTGTTTGTGTTGTGAAAGAAAAGGAACCAACCACAGGACTTTAGATAGCAGATATGTGATTTTAGCAACTGCTAAACCAATAATAAATCCATCTGCTGATTGTGAAATCTGGCTGCGATCTCATAATTGGTCCTGATAAAGGCCACCCTATAACCTATTTATGCTAATGCATACATGAAACCATAGTAACACATATGTACATTAGTGTGGGTATTTTCCCCCGATTAAAAGGCTGTTAAAACTGCCATCATTGTATCTGACTCTGTGTACTTTGTCTGTTCATTAAGTCTATTAAAACATGTTTGACAGTTATCCCACAGTATTAGGCCTCAGATCATTACTGTACAAGGTGCCTTATTTTCATCCTGTCTCTGTGTTAGTCATTATTCAGAACATGCCATTGATATGCAGTCTGATAATAGCCTACTAATAATACTTACAATCAGTTATTTCTCTATGAGCTCTTTGTGAAACCAAAGAACATAAATAGAAACACTTCAGCACTATTAACGTGCTGCTGCATTGACTTCTGTCAGCTACCAGAATTTGATTTTCCCACGTGGGCCCTGCTGATGTAGGCTGACAAATGCCAAAACTGGTCAATCAATGAGTCACCTGTCAGTTAGCATAACTTTGTGTTTACTCCTTTTGGTTTGTTTGCAAAAAGTCAGTATTAACAGGAACCAAACCAAAACTAAAGATTCAAGATTTAAGAGGTTTATTATCATGCACACAGCAAACGTAAACGTGGTTACAGACAGTGAAATTCTTACCTTTCGAGTTGCACTGACACCACTAAAGTACGCACTGAATAAATTAAAATAGATAAAAATAAATATGAAATGAGCAAGTATTATGTACAGTCAGATTTGTTGTGCAAATATTGTTGTCCAAATGATATCAAATATTGTCACATTGTCCAATATGTATATGTACAGAGAGACAGATAATCACCAGTTTAGTAGTCTGATGGCCTGCGGATAGAAACAGTTTTTTAGTCTGGCTGTCCTTGCTTTAACACTTCTGTAGCATCTGCCAGATGGCAGGAGTGTGAACGGTGTGTGCTGTGGGTGGGAGTGGTCCTTAATGATGTTGAGTAGACTCACAAGTCAGTGTTTAGACGCTTTGCTTAAATAAAAACTGATGACTTTCTCCCTGATTTTGTGTTTAGATGGGCGGATACAATTTCAGAGTTTAAAAAAACTCCCTACATTGCAGAACCAATAGTAAATCTGCAGGGCAGTCCTTCGGTGGCTCGCTGAACTCTTATGCTCGTAAACATAGTCCGACTAGAAACACGTGTAGTGGTACAAAATCAAAGTTAGTGGACGTTTGTCGCGTTTGCGGCGACTCTCGCCGACTAAAAGAAACAAACATAATCTTTTACAAGGCCGTGACTCATCCATCCGGCCAGACTATAGAGGGGAATCTTCTTGTTGTTTACAAATACTTCGGGGTAGAAAACCAGCAGAGTTTAGCTATATATATATCTATATATCTATATCTATATCTATGTATATATATACACACACACACACACACACACATATCTTANAGACCAATCTGATGTTTGTAAAGTCTATAAACACAATGACTGAACAAAGATTACTATTTCAATAACATGGTTATCGTAGATTAGCTGGGCTAACCATTAGCTGTTAGCCCTGTTAGCCGTTAGCGGTGTCTGTAATAGGTAATAACTCATTAAACGGTCCATGAAAAAAATATTTTTTTCCAGCAGATATCTTAGTTACAACATAGTTGAGCTAGCAAAGCAGTTTTGTGTTGCTATGTGTGGTATTTATTCAGTTTTGGGAAATCACGATGTCTAGAAAGCATCAGTGGCTGCAGCTGACAGGGACAGCTAACACTAGCAGCAAAACTAACATCAGGACATCATCTGTTAAAAGCCTCCCGTTGTCGGATATGACATGAAACTACTCCAGTTAGCTCAATCATGTTGTAACTAAGACATCTGCTGGAAAAAATATTTTTTCACGGATGAGCACACGTTTGATAAAACGGAGTTAAATCTCTCAGCGTCCATTTTCAAGCTCTCTGTGTGTTTGTTTCCTTGCGGATGAGAAAAGGGGAAGCGCACATTTCCGGGAGGGCGTGTCCTTTTAAAAAATGCAAGAGGTATTGCTTTGTTGCCGGCCGTTTTCGCCGGTGTGTTAAACACACTTTAGAAAGGAGTTTCCCCAGACTATCAGAAGGCGGAGATCTCTGATTGTCTGGTGGCGAGGCTAGATGTTGAGTGCCCTTTTTGTGACCCGGGTGTCGTAGATGTTCTGTAATGGGGAGAGAGCTGCTCCACAGACGAATTGTGCTGTTTTAATGACACGCTGGAGAGCCTGTCTGTCCTGAGTTGTGCAGTTCCTGTACCACACTGTGATGGGGTTTGTCAAGATGCTCTCCACTGTGCATCTGTAAAGTTGCTGAGGAGTTTGGAGGACAGTCCAAATTTACTCAGCTTCCTCAAGAAGAAGAGTCTCTGTTGAGCCTTCTTGACAATCTGCTGTGTGTTATGAGTCCAGGTGAGATCCTTGCTGATGTGGGTGCCAAGGAGTTTGAAGGTTTTTACCCTGTCCATCTGTGTCCCGTTGATGTGTAGTGGGGCGTGCTGGTCTCTGCTCTTCCTTGGGTTGATAATCATCTCTTTAGTCTTCTCAGCATTTAAGGAGAGATTATTTTGTAACAGTGTATCATTTTTTTCCCTCTGGTGCGACCAGTTAACTACAGCTGTGAAAGCACCCTGATGTGAACAACAGTTTTTGAAATTGGTCAAGTATTGAGCAGGACAATGCAATGGCTGCAATGGAAGCACAAGGGGCAACTGAACACCGTCACTGTATGTCCATTTAAAGTGGTTATTTTCACTACTGACAGGCTCAGATTGTTATTATAAGTGGCTGAAGAGTCTCTTTACCTTTCACTTGACTACTGACTTGATAGGCTTTTTTTTCTCCTCAAAGATATCTTTATTGAATTTTTCACAAATATATGGTACAGGTGTTAAGTGTTGACAGGAAGTTTGTAAAATACACAGTCAGCTCATAGGTCGAGAGCAGACGTTGCGCTAGACTTTTTCGTCGCCGGTCATTTTGACTGACAGGATCATAAAAATCCGGTCATGATCTATTTTTACTGGTCATTTTAATTTTCCTTTAAGATATTCAAAGATATTTAGTTTTCATTCGTTCGTTTAATAAATCCAACAAGCAAGTTATAAAGTGTGCATTAATAAGGACATGAACGAAAAGATGAACAGACATCCACACACCCGTGCCATCAATGCGCAGCGCCCAGCAGCGGAGGCAGTTTTCAATCGGCGCCCATGTAAACCTATCTGACTGTCCACACAGGCCGCTGAGCAGAGCGGAGCGCCCGCGGAGGCAGTGTTTCAGTTCGGCGTCTGGTCTGTTTTTCACACGAGCAATAAAATATCGTGTTTATAATTTAAAATAACACAGCAGCGCATAACCAAACACATTTTCCAATACCCTAATCACTTCATTACAATTTTAATTTTGTGTCACCGAGCCTGCAGACATAACTACATAAATAAAATCGTCAATAACAATATGCCCAGTATTTAGGCTATCCAACACGCTCAATACATGGATATGCAATGACAAATTGTAATTAACTTATTATGTTATAAAAAACGATTAAAATATGGCCTTACCCATGTTTAAAATGACCTGTTGAAGTGAAAAAACGAGTAGGTACTGACGGGAAAAGACGAGTGGACGATGTTTAACCGGCGCAGAGAGCGCAGGAGAAATGCGCTGCCTGTGTGGACAGTCAACTTCCGCGGCACTACGCGTCTGGTGTGTCCTGGGCTCAACAACGCTACATGAAACAGATGAATGACTCTTTCTCTGCAGTGTGAAAATGGCAGCCACTGGTTGTGCA